AATAATAATAAAGTATATTAGCTAGAGGAACTCAATCTGAACTTAGGACAGTATAGTTGAATCCCAGAAGAACTAACTGCAATATATTGCAGCCTGTGGAACTCCTTTGGCCAAATTAAATGAAAACTGCAATATCCACACACACCATAATTTAAAGGAATGGCAATGCAACTGTCTGTTCTTGACTCAGGCTGGCAGTAATCTAGTTTATGTCCCAATAAGGGGCTGAGTCCCAGTTTAGTCGCAGTTCCAGTAGACCCCTTCGTATTAGTGGGAAATGTCTAACTTGTATCATTAATTTCAGTGGCACTTTTCTATCGGTGACTAAATCTAGATCCACCTTATTGCATTTTGGAGCATATTGCCCTAATTAGGTGGTCCCCATCCCTTGCATAACAGAGGGAGAGACTGACAGAATATCTATAAATGTATCTTTCACTACTGACAGGAAAGCACTGAGAAGTCTGAACCATACGGTATATATACTAAGGATATATAGATATGGATATGGATATAGATAAACACATATCAAAGAGAAAGATTATATATCTGTTTCTATATGTTAGTCTAATTTCTGGCACCTAAATCAAGTATGTGTGCATGTGTATGACAGAAGGGAAAGAGAGTTTTTCATTTCTTGAGTTTGACAAGAGCGCCCTCATCTTGCAGTTTCAAAAATAGCAGCGATGGGAATTTTAACTGGAAAAAACACATTGAATTAACCTTAAGTTTCACAGCCACAGTGTTCTACAAGCTATAACGACCTTCCTACACATAAAGATTATTTCTTTCATCCAGCTGCAACAAACTGCAGAAAATGGACAGAGAGGTGGCCAATGCAATATTAATGGAGAAAAATTAAATGAGGCAAATAGAATTTCTCTTCTTTTTCTAGATTCTCCTCTGTTAGGTCTGCCTCTTTCAAATCTCAATAAACTCATTTGTCCTACAGGCAGTTTTCTTACAAACCAGGCACTAAGAGGTTCCGCTCTCCCTCCACCACTAATTTAATTATATATAACCTGCAGAATTTGAGACAGAGGCAGCAATAAAGAGAAATGAAGTTCACCCTTTTTTTCCATTTCCTGCAAGGGGAGAGAAACCTCTCAGTACATCATTATCGTGGGCTCTGATTGCATTCAGCAGGTGTTTTATCTTCTCTGCTTTGGGTAACTCAAATTGGTGTATTAACAATTAATTGTTTTCTTGAGATTACAAATTACAGGAACAGGGGAATTAGATTTTTTTTTTTACAGAGTGGAGCATAATGTATTGTTCGCCTGTGATAGCTCAACTTTAATCACTGAATATATATGGGCATGTCCCATCTATTACATTCCAGTTCTATACATCTTAGTTCTTCACAGCTCAGTAGAGCTTTCTTCTAGGAACAGTCTGGCACCTTTTACAAATAATTATGCTTAAAAAAAACCCAACTCCTTTATTGGTTATAGGCCCCTTCTAGCAGGTATCTAACAATAGCAACACAATCCTGTCCATTCAGATGAAAGCCACACAGTGTTTAAATTGGAGCAATATTCCTATAAATAGGCATACTAGAATAGCAAAGAGTGGGAAAACACACACTTTCTGAACCACAAGGTTCCAAAGAAAACTTGGGTTATCAGCCAGCCAAAATAATATGCAACAGACATACAGATCCACTCAGCATTACATACCACTGAGTTTAGGGAGAAGTCCTCCCATGTAAACATGTAACAAGATTACAGTACAAGTACCCAGTTATTCTTCTCGTAAAGTTTTGGAGGTAGACACTAAGGCTCTCTCCCACAGAAAGGAAATTAGTTTTAAAGTCCTTCAGGCCATTTGGATCATATTTATAGTCAAAATTAGCTGGTTGCTAGCCATACTCCCCACCCTCACTCTCAGCAGGCTCCCCAAACAGGAACACCTCTTAAAAATTGCAGCCGGAAACCTAAAACCAGAGTCATTGTCTCTCAGAGCCATTTTCTGGATTAACATGTACCTAGTTCCCCAAAGCACAATAAGTATCTAGAAGCAAGGATCCTTCCACTTTTCCTTCCCACCTCTTACGGTACAGAGTCTGCAGGTGGAAAAGGAGGCAATGTAAAACATTTTATAGTGTCAGAGGTCTATTCCACAAGCCTCATAAAAATAACAGTGGAAGAAGGAAGGATAGATAGGAATTCAAGAGCACAGCAAACTTGCTACTCTATATGTGTGCCTGTGTGGTCATGCACACACACAATCACACACATGCACATGCATTTCCACACACACCTGTGTGTGCCCATGTGTCTATGCCTCTGGAGGCCTACAAATCTGTGTCTTTGGACTACAAGTCCTAGAATTCTCAAGGCAGAATAGCCTGCTTCAGGAATTCTGGGAGTTGTAGTCCAAAAACACAAGTCCATGAATCTCTCTCACTCTGTCTCTCCACAAACACATTTCTTTGTGTGTATAACCAGCGAGCATGAACCGATTATGCATCCCAGTACAGACAAATACAGACAAATACAGTATTTTCCATGAGGTCCAATATTTTCCACCTGGAGAGAAGAACTACAAAGTGTTTGACTTTGGCAGGATAGTGTCCATATATATATATGGAAGCCCTCATTTACAGAGGCACTTGAGTACAGTGTCCTTAAGGAGAGACATTAATCCCATCTTTTCAACTATGGATTTTGTGCATATTTTCTTAGATGGCATTGAAACAAAACTCAAAGAAAGCCTAAATAAAGCAAGGCTATTTGAAATTGGGAGACTGTAACAATATATATCCCACTTCACAAAGAAAAAAATGATAAAGTAATGTATACACATTTATAAACCTTACACTCACCAACTAGGAACAGGACGAAGGAGCCGGACGACCAAGCAAGTTCCATTCTTTGGCCTCTCTCTTCACTACAGGTAATTCCTCCCGCCGCCTGCCCACTTCAAAAGGCAAACAAAAGATTGCATTGGTGTAAAGATTATCTTGGCTTTTCGACACCTTGACTCTCCTCTCCTCCTTTGACACTCAGCACAGTCTTTAGTCTTCTTGCAAGTTGTGAAATGTCTACGTCAACGGGAGAAAACAGTGAAATTTTATCCATATCTTTTAAAAGAGAGGGAGAAGAAAAGAAAGAAAAAGAAGGAACAGCAAGAGGGGAAAAATAACAAAACAGCAATAACAAGAAGGCAGAAACGGCATTTTTAATAGCTGACCCAAGATGCTTTAATCTTTAGCTCTCGGGTGCCAGGAGCGAGAATTAAGATTTGCTCCCAAATATGTGTGTGTGTATGAAGCCCTGCTTTTGTGTGTGTGTGTGTGTGTGTGTGTACCCCTGCTTGTGTGTGTGTGTGTGTGTGTGTATAGCCCTGCTTGTGTGTGTGTGTGTGTGTGTGTGTGTGTGTGTGTGTAGCCCTGCAGAGAAACTCGTGGTGTGGGTAGAAGGTCTGAAATTCACCTACCCTGCTTCTAGGATGGCTTCCTGAAATCTTCTGGCAGGGCTTCTTTCTTTCTTTCTTTCTTTCTTTCTTTCTTTCTTTCTTTCTTTCTTTCTTTCTTTCTTTCTTTCTTTCTTTTTCTCATCCGTCTGTTGTGAAGTCCAGGACAATTTGTCCGGGTGGAGGACAGCAGGAACTCCGCTTTCGAGGCCCACTCACCCAAAAGCCAGCCAAAATTGCCACAGAGCGTAACAAACCTCGGCGTGATCTTCACCTTCATCTCTCCTTAACCCGAAGCCTCCACCGCGTTTGAACTCCCCGCCCTGCCACCCCCCGCTTTCCTAGGGAGCCGCCCCGCAGGAGAACTGCTTGTCGGATCTTGAGTTGCTCCTTCCACCTGACCTTCAAGTCCACTTCGCCACAGGCCAGCCAGGCTCTCCAGATAGAGAAGGAGAGTCAAGGCACGAGAACAGCCGAACAGCCAGTGCAGAATTATGCAGCGGTGGAAGCATTCATTCATTCATATGCAAATAGATCCACGAAGATCAGAAGTTCATCATTTTAAAAAAGGTAAAGGGTAGAGAGAGAGGGAGAGAAAGAGAGAGAGGGAGAGAGGGAGAAAGAAAGAAAGATCCTCCACATTTTCATTCCAGCGTATGCTTGCGATGAAATAATATGATCAACTAGAATTTACTGAGCAAAACTTCTTCATGTTGATATCTCCAGGTGGAACCCAGGTGAGTTCGACGGAGGAAGAATTGGATTAAAGCTAAACTCGGGAATAAAAAAATGGGGGAGGGGGAGAGTGCACCGGAAGGTCAGGGTGCAATAGTACAAACCCATAAGGAGTACACAAGAGCATCGAATTATCATTTTAAAACAAAGTGGGTTCTTATAGGTATTTTAAAAGTTCCTTTAAGAAACAGAACACGTTGATCGCTTGCAACTCCGTTATGTCGCTAAGCAAATAACTAACACAATGCAGTCCGAATAACTCCGGGAGAAGTGTGATGTTGAATTAGATAGGCCACCCTATGGCTTTATTCTTTCTCTGGGCCACATAAAACACCTTTCTTACAGTCCGCTCCTCTTCGACTCCTGACCATTTATTTAGTTATTGATTGACTGATTTACGGGGAGAGGGATATTCTCACCATTTTCACCACTGCCCCTTCCACAAACAAGGGTGCAACCCTGGGCACATTTGTAGGGGAGTGTGCATAGAGTTTGTGCGGTTGCTAATATTCTAATACTTTAGAATATTATTGAATTCCATTACAGTTTATTACTTCTTTTTATAAAGAAGGGTGTGTGGGTTTTCCCCTCTAACAATTTTCCCCAGTGTAAATCGTCCTTCATTTAAACCAAATACTGTAACTGCGAATATCTCAAACATAATTGCCAGAGTGTACAAGGATCATGGCCACCTACTGCCGCTGCAGTCTGCCATGTGACTTCAACGAACAATAAATTTTACACAATGGTATCTACTGTACAGCACAAATATTTCCCTATTGTTGTTGTTAACAACCACAGCAGATATTAGTAGATGTTAGATGATAACACAACGCATCTTTCAGAACTTCACATGCGAAAACTTTACAAAAACTGAATCACACCTCGATTCGGGAGATTAAGCTTTGGGTCTTTGACCATGCGTTGTGAAGAAGGGTGCAGCGGATGTGAACCGGTTCCTAAGGAAAACACAGGGTGGCATCTGTGTGATAAGACAGAGGGGTAAATACAGAAAGAAAGTGGGGGCCTTGGACTATTTCTTCTTCACGGGTGGGAGGGGAGGACCTCAAAAATTGTTTTGAAAATTAAAACGAAGGAAAGCTCCTCCTCCAGATAAAAAATTTAAGGCTGTCTAATAACTATTTTCTTGTTCTTTGTTTCACTCCAATTGATACAGCGCACTATCTTGCCAGGTTGAAGGCACCGGAATAAGCGACGTACAACCGTAATCAAAACAAAAACAATCCTCATAAACCGACGGGTCACACAGAACGCTTTGTCCACTGCCCTCTCGCTTCCTCTCCTTTCCTTTAGTGCAGGTAGTAGAGTGAGAAACCTCTGGGAGGATTAGACGGCACTCTTCCCGGCAGAAAACCGCAGCGTTGGGACGCAAACCCTCGCCTACACCTTCTAGGTGAAAGGCAGCCAGAGGAACACTGGAGCGCCCCACCTCTTTCTCTACAACGATTACCCACAAAGTTTACCTAATTAATGCTTATTAGCCAACCGGAGGAAAATCCTCCCATGTCCTTGATTAGGCTTGCAAATATGGAACCCATCTGGCTTCTAGACACGATGTTCCCCTTCGCATCTTTCCATCCTTACTTTTACAGAAGAGAAGGAGGGGGGGAGAGAGAGAAAGCAGGATCCTGACCCTCCTTTTCGCGTTATTTTGCCAGGGCCGCTGGGATAGCAGGCTTAGTCTAGGTTGTTGGATTCTCCACAATACGCAACCCATGGCAAGTGTTAAATAATACATCAGCCTCTTTGTCAGCTGCACCCCAGACGCCTCTCCTCATTTGTTCGGCTTTGGCAAATGAAACAGAAAGGGGACTCCATGTTGGAAACGAGCACAGATTTCATTTCAGTTCGTTCTTGGATTACCCGAAGTCTGCAGGTTAACCTGTCCGCATAACTTTACGTTTTCCTTTATTTTCTCAGGACTCTAGGTTTTGTTTTTAATTATCCCTCTTTTTCAAAATATAGTTTTAGAAGTCCCACCCATCCACCCACCCATCCTTTCTCCCTGGCTTTGCAAACAACAGGAAGAAGGAAAGGTGAGCTGCGGCCTTTAGGATTACGATCGTAGCTCAGGCACTTTCTTGAAAGAGTTAAGAAAACTTTGGAGGACTGAACGATCCTGTCCTTCCCTCTGCTCGCTCGGCAGGTCTCCCTCACCTCCATTCCCTCTCTTCCTTCATTCTCTTTTTTCTTTATTACCTTTCCTCCCTTTGTTTTATTTTAAGAATATCAACTGTTCTACAACCTCCCACCACCTCCGGGGTTTCAAATGAGATCAACCAGATCGCCTCTCTGTCTGTTCCTTCCTTTTCTCTCCATCCACCCCCAACACATATTCTTGTTCTACTTCACACACACACATTTAAAAACTACTCCTTTAGGAACGAGATTATTTTTCATTCCTCCCCCCACCCCCCGTGACAAGCGGACCGGCCTGATTCTGCTACCGCAGAACCCTTTGAAAGAGTCCGCACTGGGAAGAAATGAACAACTTGTTCTCGGCGGACTCTCTTGTCCTCGGGATCCAATTAGCCCGAAGGAAACCCTCGGCATAAGTTTCCCCAGCGATTCGCCAGAAATGCTGCGCTCCTTTCCAAAATGTTTCCTTAAAACCGGGCGCTTACTTGCTTTGGCACGTTGCTTGCTTGCTTGCTTGCTTGTTGCTTCTTCGTTGCTTTGAGGAGGTCGCTGTGCTTCTTCCAAAGCGACCTCTTCAATGCAAAGGCATCGAGTCGCGCCTGATGTCAATTTACGACAGCCTGGCAGGCTTCAGATCAAGAGCTCCGAACAGGCTATACATGTACTGTATCTGCATCATTAAAGAAGATCCATTGCAGAGGAAAGCATTTCATTAACAGTTAAATTCTACACTGAACCCATGACATCATTGCATCATTCTCTACCCTCATAGCAAATTATTATTATTATTATTATTATGTGATAGCTATCCGAAGAAAATGAAACGAAGGAGGAGAAGGATACCTTTATGAAGACTTTTTAAATAGTTTGCAGCATTAAAAGAATACATAGTTGAAGAATTGATGTCTATCTGTACCATTCTGTGTACACAACGGTCCTAACATGCACAGATGCGGGTTAAATCTGCCTGTCTGTCACCCAAAGGCTGGAAGTCAAAGCACGACCCCAAACTGCTTTATGCGGAGGTAGGCCCCGCTGAGTTCAACAGGACTTACTTCCGGTCAAGAATAGGATGACAATATTCCATTGAAATCAGGAGGGTTTACTTCCGAGTAAGCTCGACTGGGATCCGCATGCTAAAACACTTTGAAGAGAGCAACAAGGCTTGAAATACAACAGGCTTGTGTTCCAGCAACTATCAACAACAAAACATATCCTGGCCACCATCACTCAAGTAAACCTTTCCACATAAGCCAAGTTAAGTTAAACACACTGCAACAAATCACAGAAACTATGCAAAATCTTTCCTGATCGCTGGTTACGTAGGGCATTTTTAAGGTAACCTGTGCAAAATATTTAATTAAAATCCTAGTAATATTATTTTAGACTGGCTCTGGTTCTAAAAATGGAAGGAGATCGGGAGTTTTATAAGTTCTTTAAATATTTAAAATACAGATTAGTTATCCTGTTTTAAGTCAAAACAACAGGTAAATAAAATGAGAGCCTAAAATTATGCATCAGCTTGGGTTTTCTGTAGCTTTAAAAACCCTTTGGTAAAACAGCCTGATAAAAGAGACAAAATAACTATAGAGTATATATGAATTTAGCCTATTTTTTATTTCTGTGTGTTCATAGTAAACATTTTTTGTAAGTGACAAACACGGGCATATGACCACAGTATCACAATCAAGTTTTTTTAAGACAACATTAACAATCACTCAAATTTATGCGGCATTTGCGCAACACAGGTTACATATTTGCAAGGTTTACCTATAAGTACAATAGGTATTAACATTTCACTACATTTAAAAATAAAAATAAAGGTGACCTGTTAGTGACCACATACATCAAAATATACACAACACAAACTGAAGGCAATTCATGTTTTTTTTTTAATCCCCTTGGATTCATTTGAATGGGCAGTGCCGAAAAACTGGATTTTATATAATTCTGCTTTTATTGTACTTTCCGTAGAGGGGGAAAAACCTTTTGGGACACGGGATGCATTTTCTAAAACCCAATCTTTGGTCTAAAAGTAAACAAAAGGCAAACAAAAACAAAAAGGAAAAAAAGAAAAGAAAATTGGCTCTTTAAAAAAGTGGAGGACAAAAGAACTCATGGCCAAAATGCAATTCCTGGACTTTTCTGCTTATTTACTTTTTTTTCCCCTCCCCCCCCCAAAAAAATGCTATTAAAATGCTTCCGTACAAATGACAATCTGCATCATGGCATTCATCAAATTCGTATTTTTATTTTTAATTTCATAGTCTGCACCCACCAACAGATCCATGATAACTTATAATACTGCAAACATGGAAAATCTGGCGGCTTGGCGAGTCATTTTGGAGCCAAAATGGCAAAAAAGCAGTCACTATTTCAGATGCACGTTCCCCTAGATTCCCCCCCCCCCCCCACTGCATCGCCTCTATAATGTGTTCTTTCCATCTTTGTACCTTGTTGACTCGCCTCGCTTTGCTGGAATAATAAACAAGCCTAAAGACTGAACAAACGTACAGAAAATGGGGGGAAAGAGGGGAGGGAAACTTAATAAAAAATACCTGGACTTTTTTTTTCCTGGGTGAGTTATTTTTTTCCTCTTTTCTTTCTGTTTTGTTCTTTTATATAGTCTGGCTCACGCTCTCTCGCTCTCGCTCTCGCTCTCTCTTTCTCTCGCACGCTCTCGTTCTTCATTAGCAATTTTTTAAATTTTAATTTTTTTCTTTTTTTTCTTTTTTTGTGTGTTTTTTTCCTTTTTTTTTTTTTACAACGTAAAGGTGTGTAAAATGTTCACTTACAGTCTCGGCTTCCCAGGAGGTTAATGTATTAACGGATTGGAGGAAGAACCCTGATTTTGATGCGTGAAATAATCGGACAGGCCCCCCGACAGTCCGGTGGTAAAACTCGGCAAGGAGGGTCTTAAGGATTCGCACGGGAGCGTGGAGGGCGCCTGCGGCGAAGTGGAGGAGGAGGCGGCCCGCCCCGTCATCG